AATTAATGGATAAAATGCACGGATTATTATTATTACTATTATTCCCACTCCGATCGGGACACTAGGTCCACCGTTTCCCCGCAGCGAGGCTCCCTCCCCCCGTTGACAGTTTACCTGGGCTGGGTGTAGTGGCGGACTGGCCATCGGGACGAATCCCGATGGGCCGGTACCGAAGTGGGCCGGTCGGATAAGTCACTAGCACATCCCCCATAGGCGGCGCGTGAGGCTCAGGTTTGGGAAGGCTAAATCACTTTTTTTACCTGACGCTGCCCGCCTCCGGCGTCTATAGAAAAGAGATCAACTCAGTGTGCGGAGTTTAAATCTCTCAAGTCATATTACAGGATAAAGGAAATACAGTTCAAACTGCCGTATGCAGAGAAGACGCCGACGTGTCGCACTTATCATTCATATCACATCATCAATCAGATCATCGATCATATAATGTATCATATATTTCCTTATCTCAGTCAGCTTCTCCAGCCGTATCTGGCCGTGCAACACTTACAGTGTCACATACTGTATGCAGAAGAGAAGTATTATTTTAAGCAACACATTATGTTGACGAAACACTCGAGTCAAATGTAATTAAAGTCAGATCACTCGTGTCTTAGACGTGAACGCGCTCTCAGCTGGTGAGAGAAACCCTGGCTTAATTTACCGAGTTGATAACCGTCGTAGGACCGCTTAGCGAGATCTCGTTTGTTAGTTTGTTGTTGTTAGTTTGTTTGTTACTCAAACATATCCAGGGTCTGTTGAACTGGCTTCGTAGTACAGAGCACAGGTGGCTAGCAGCGCTAATGTCAAAGACACAGACATTGCATTATATTTGTATTTTACCAGGATGCAGTGACACAAATATTTACATATTTACATTTACTATCTACAGCACCCGCCGCCCCTGACATCCCCCACTCCCCCTGTTGACAATTTACTAGCGGTACCGAAGTGGGCCGGTCGAGAGTCCCGGGATGATTTTTAGTCCCATTCCACCACTGGCTACATGACCGTATGATCGCCTATATTGACGCACCTAATTCCTAAACTTCTAACAGATACAACATAAACCGATCCTTCAGCCTCATATGAGCTCTCAGACGAGCTCTCAGACACATTCAAAATTAAACTGTCATCGCTGTCTGAGCTTGCTGCTGTGTGCGCCATCGTGCGTTTACATGCAGCTGCTGGGATCCTGAACGGTGCAGCTGGAGCGCTGTGCCCGCAATGACGTCACACGTAATTTGGCGGGACTTGAAGAATCCCCGAGAAGATCCAGAAAATGGTCAACATTGAAGGGCAGATTAATGGTTATCAAAGTACAAATATCCAAAATCAGTTCAGTAACGGTTTTCAAGGGGACAATATTTACTCAAATTGATGGGTTTGGATGATGGGGGAAACTCGTGTCACAGGCTCTTTAAGCGAATTCATGGGTTGAATGCAAATATGTCTAATGACCACTTGCTCGGCTTCACAAAATATTTTTGTTTCTACTTTGTTTTCTTCTGATGAAGCTAGCCGTTTCCCTATGCATCCAGTCTCTATGCTAAGCTAGGATGCTACTAATTTAGAGCCAATTCATAACTTTGAAAGGGGGATCTGTGTAGGACAGGGTTGCCAACTTTGGGTACCTGGCTGGAGTGAGATTTTGATATCATGGGTTTAATTACATATGCGCACGAAATGACTGCTAGTGTCAGCAGCAGGACCTTAGCATAGCCTATATATAGGATATATATACAATATATACAAATACACAATATTGGACACAGACTATAAAAGGCACAAAGTTTCATTCACTAATGAAAGTCAAACACATGTTTGTTTCCACTGTTTTATTGTGTGCCTGTCGCAATAAGCAATGAATTGACGTATCGTACGATAAATAAAAATGAACTCGATACATTTCCATTTACATGAGGATGTGACTAGCAGTTTGAAAGGATGTACTTGAATTATTATTATATATTATCATTATGTCAGTGGTCTAAAATGGTCATACAACGGTGCCGACAATATTATCGTTTATCGCAATAATTTCCGGGAAAATGTATCCAACAAAATTAATTATCGTGAGAGCTATACATGAAACACACACACACAAACAAATCTACAGACTTACTCCAAACTGCCAAATATATTAATTAACACACTCTCACTCTCATATACTCTTTGACTCTATTTTGGCCTAGTAGAACAATAAGAAGCAGACTTTTACTTTTTTATCATTTCTACTGGTTCTTAGATCTGAGCATGCGCAATACGGGTCGGCAGTTGCGAGAGAGTATTTGTGTTGGGTAATCTATGGTATATGGAGGACGGAACATGACTTAAGTATAAATAAGTAACCTGGAGCCAATTCTGCAATCTCTCCACAGGTGAAAGAGTTGACATGCTGAAAACCCAACCCCTGCAGGGGGGTCTGGGGAGATTCTCCCCCAGGAGATTTTTTTTGTTTTAGTTTTGAAATAGGTTACTAACATAAAATACACATTCTGGTAGCCTACTCTCTTGAGAAGAAAAATAAATAAATACACGACATATTTAAAAAAGTAATGCCATTTTAGTTTTTTGTTACTTTGTTCTGAAAGCTGAACCTGCTGCTCCTCACAGAGAGAAGAGGGAAGAGGCTGTGAATTACTTTACATTGTGGATAAGGGTGGTCAGCCAAAAAGGCCAAACGGGCCGTTGCCCTGGCAACATTAGCCCGTACCTGTGCACGTCCCTGCACCTATCAATCATCAAACCGTGGGGTCTTATTTCATTACGTGTTGATTTCTATCAACACGTAATGTTGTATCGATGTATATAGAGATGTACTACAGCAAAAGTATTCTCCTTCGGGACTTCCTGGAACAACACCACGCCGTTATCTTGATTCTGATTGGCCAGAAGACATTATCAAAGATGTTCTATTGAGAAGACGATCACTACCTGACAAAAGTTTTCAAAACCGTTTCTAGTCTTCGGTATTCTTGTTTTTGGCGTGAGAATAGTTTGGGCAGCGTGAGAGCGTGAGATTGAGAGAGAAAGCGTGTGTCACACGCCAGATGCGTGAGAGTTGGCAACCCTGGTGTAGGATATGATACAAATCTAATTGTCAGATCAAGAAATAAGGCATTTATATTGGATCTCCAATTGCTAAATCTACACAGAAGAATATTTAACACAAGGAATCAGACGTTAATAAGATGTTAATATAACAGTATATAAGCAGTAACACAAAAGTGAAGAGGTGCAGCAGCTTACTGTCTCTGGGTCGGATGGTAAACGGAGCTCGTTTTGAAGAGGGAGAAGATTTGTGGGCAATTTTGAATTCGAAATGTTTGAGGTTTCTTTCCCTGGCACCTTGGCTTTTCGCTTTTGGACCTGCAGAACAAGGGAGGACGTTTAGTGATGGAACCAGTCCCTGGGCCGGGCAGACATATGTGGTGTCTGGCTGCAGATACCACATAAACGTATTTGGCCTAAAAAATACAGTGACTTTATCACACCTTTTTCCCTTCAAAAGAGCTACTTATGCTGGAAAAAACGAAAAGAATAAGCTAATAATTACATATATCAACTAAATATCCATTAGTGACCCATAACAGATGCATTTGCTTACTCTCTCTGGGTCAGGCGGTGCATGGCGCCCCTTTTGAAGCGGGGAAAGATGTGCTGGCAGTGGACCAGAGTTGACCAGTTTTCCTTTCACTGGCAACTTGGCCTTTCTCTTTTTCATCTTCAGCACAACTGGCATCTTAGCTTCTTTCGTTTGGGTCTGCAAAACAAGGGAGGGTGTTTTAGTGTTTGGAAAACAACCAGTCCCAAGCCAGGCAGCCATGTGTGGCGTCTGGCCGCTCGGCCATGTCTACGCTCCTGCCAAACTCAGTGGCTGAAGAGGGGGGACTCATCAGAGGGATGTTCTGCTCCAGTGAGGGGAAATCTGCAGAGCCTCTGCCAAACATGGACCATGGCTGACTTCCTGCACAACAACCAGGAGTGACACAAGTGGTGTAGAGTAGATACACTCAAGTACCTGCTGTGGCGTCTCTGCTGCAGATGATTCCGTGTTGCTGCGGTATTCCCTCCACCACAGAGACAAAAACTGCTCCATGTTTGAGTGGCCGCCCTCCCTCTGGCTGCTGCTGCTCCAGGGCTTCACTGATCCTAGGAAGTGCACAATCTTTGCATCGTGGCCAAACCTGCAGGAGCAAACTGTAGCTCAGGATGTTTGTGCACACTGCAGCAGAGTAATATAATTGGTGTGTATCGACATACCATAGAAAGGAGCAGTTACTATAGTGATTACGGTGTTATTTTAACGGATATAAATGATGGGCTACACTACAACAATGAAGCCTTTGAAACTTTGATGGATAAAACAGAGCGAGAACCTGTAATAAGTGAAATGTGTGTAAGGAGAGATTGTGTGTGTGTGTGTGTGTGTGTGTGTGTGGTGTGTGTGTGTGTGTGTGTGTGTGTGTGTGTGTGTGTGTGTGTGTGTGTGTGTGTGTGTGTGTGTGTGTGTGTGTGTGTGTGTGTGTGTGTGTGTGTGTGTGTGTGTGTGTGTGTGTGTGTGTGTGTGTGTGTGTGTGTGTGTGTGTGTGTGTGTGTGTGTGTGTGTGTGTGTGTGTGTGTGTGTGTGTGTGTGTGTGTGTGTGTGTGGGGGTGGGTGTGTGCGTGCTCACTGTTGGAAAGCGGGCAGGTAGCTGTACAGGGAGCTGGCGCTGAGGTTGTAGATGAACGGCAGGTGTTTGCTGATGTCTTCCACCGGCCAGCCGCTGAAGAAAGAATTCAAAAGGCCCTGGTCCCCTCCTGAAGCCAACACATGTCACCAGTATTAAAAAAGTAGTTATTGTAGATGGAGTGATATAAAGTTGAATGTGGAACTTCACTGTGTTATTCTTTATTGTAGGTGATGATAATAATGAGAAAAAATAGTTGTCATGGGTTACCATCGAAGCTGCCATGCTGCCGGGCGTGCTCCAGGAGGCGGTGGTGTGTGTGCAGGGACGGTCTGAACACAAACACCCCGGAGTTGAAGCAGTCGGGCCAGCCGGGGTCCGGAGCTGCCGACAGCTCGTCTCTGTGGAACAGCTCGTCCACGTTACACAGGACCTGAGGGGGGACCCCGCCCATCAGGTCAGTGTGGGACATGCCATGATATATTGTGACAACCTTGCCTGTTCCTCCGTGTTTAACATGAGAACATGTTGACACTGAGCACACAGAGGCAGGGGGACATGCTCCTAAAGGGCCACTCATATGCTATTGATTCCTATTGGAACATGATGAGTGACCCTCAAAGAGACTGACAGGGTGTTTACTGGTGTATAGGGATAGATAACTCCAGATAGTGATAGTATAGTACGGCCATTGAGCCTGCATTTCCTCATGCTATACTGCCATTTGTACAACATCTGCCTTCTTTTTCCCTATGATCATTGACCAAGATCGCTTTTCCATTTTCCCCAAGCTCCTTCATAATAAAAGTTACCCAGCTCTTTTGCCAATGGAATTCTTTTAATGTGAAGGAGCTGCAAGCATTTCCTGTTGCAGCTCCTTTTGTGAGGATAGATCAGCATCAAACACAAAGAGTGCACTTATTGGACATAATGATGTATTTCACAGTACAATATTACACATATGTTGTGTTTCTGTGTGTGAAGGACTCACCAGTGTGTCGGCATCCAGGAACACACACTTGCTGTACTGGGTCAGAGTCCAGCAGTGGATCTTGGTGAAGGTGATGCCCAGCTCAGGACGTCCCAGCAGGGACAGGTTGAGACGGTCCTCACTGTCCATCACGTCCACGGTGATCACCTCGTCGAAGACACTCTGCAGGGCCAGCCTGGTGACGACATACATGACACGGTAAGTGAGAATTATACAAATGCCATATATTCAGCTTATATGCCAGAGAAATGAAATCATTCACCTTGACTGCTCTGAGATATTGGGTGTTACCATGACAACGATGCTGCGAGTTGTCCCGTGGCGCCGCAAACTTTTGGCCACCACTGTAGCTCCCATGCAGTAGGAGTTTGTGGTTGCCAGGGTGACAAAGGCCTCCCTACCTACAAAATGGTCACGACAAGGTTTAAACAATTTAAATATACAACCTAAGAATGGCTGTAAATAGGTTGCTAAGAGACGTTTATACCACTTTCCAAAAGAGCAATCGACTTTAAAGGTTGAATAATTTTCCAAAACTACACTTTGAGAATAACAAAATATATATATTTATGATTGTGTGTCTGCATACGTCTTTATTTGATAGTTTTAGTATCCTTACAGTTAAGAATTATTATATTTTGCTCCTAAGAATGACCCTAAGAAAGCAATTTTCACACAAAATGACACTAATGGTTATTTTGGTGCCTTGTTTTCCATTATGGTTGAACATGAGGGTGGGAGCATGTGGGGTAAGTGTAGTTGTAACTGAGCCATTTTCCTGGCCAGTGGTCAGAGGCAGAAGCTCGTGAGCTTTTGTCTGAAGACATCTCTGGGCTGCGTGTAGAGTTACAGGAGAGTCTATTCTGATTCAAATCAAACTGGGTCACTAGAGTGCACTCCGTATAATTCAACAACAGAACAACAAGTGTGCACCACAGATCAAAATCTCTTTAAATGTGCAGAAAGGGTCAACTACTAGGACACTACATCCTCAAGAAAACTCATCAAATAAGCAGTACAATGTCATTTTACACATCACTTAGGTCACAAACGATCACCTACCTGACATTTTCCGTGCGTTAAATCCGCTCTCTTTATCCAGAAAATATGAGTTAGCTTCACTTCACTGCAGCAGGCCTCTCATTGGGGGTGTGAGGAACAGTCAGCGGGGGTCCCAGGTGCACATCTCTGGAGCTGCTGTGGAACCTTAAATACTTACAGGATGAATGTGATACCGCACGCAGCAGGAAGTGACATCCCATTCTGTATTGGGAGTGTGTGTGTTCATCTGGTCATTCAACTAGTGAGTCTTGCCAGGTGTTGTGCAACTGTGTGGACCTTCAGCAGCTGCCCTCTGCTTTGGGTTCACCCTGCTTTACACAGGAAACAGTGAGGGAATATAAAGCACAAAAACATATTCTGTTAAAATACTTATTACCCCTATTAAGTATCACAATGTCAAAGAAGTGTAACCTGATTACTTTCTCTTACTTTTATATCAAATATCAATATGCAAAATCAAATGTAATGCAACTAAATTGGTATATAAAGAGTTTTATAAAGTAGTCAGTAAATCAATCTTGAGTTGTGATTATTCTGTCTCACAGTCATTTTGACTCATTTTATAGTAATAATCATAAAGCAGACGAACTGTACAACACCACTTTATTGAAAAACTCACACACACATCAGACGTAGTATACCCGGATTAGATCTAAACTTGTAAATGACATGACAAAAACCTCCCAAAAACACTTCAAAGCAGATCATGGTGTAAAAGCTGAAAGCAGCATTTATCCACATCCTCCAGTATTTACAGCTCACACTCATATTTCAGCGTCATAACAACAATCCCCTCAGGCAATCATTCTGATTTATGATACTTTACAATAAAGGCACGACTCATGGGCGAGTCTGAGGATAAAACCTGATTCTGATTATCATCACTGCGACAAAAAAGTGCATCAGCATGGCCTCAGAGTGCTGCTGAAGTCAAACTGATAAGATAGACAGCCTGCAAAAAATCATCTGTCAACGATTGACTCCTAAAACATTATTTATGAAATCCAATAGGAAAGTTTAGTCTTGTTCATGTTTTGTTGTGAAGCTGGGAGCATTAAACCTTATATAGTGGTTATGTTAATGATCTAGCTAGCTGCTAACAATGCTAGCATGGGCTGTAATAGCAAACCATGAGCTAATGATGCTAATTCTCTGTAGCACCTTTCATATTACACATGAGTTTCTTTGTCAATATAAGACATAAAGAAAGTTAAACTTCAAGGAATCAAATGACAATCAAACATAACAACAAACAAAAAGCTTCTACTGTATGTTACATTTACAAATGCGATGCAAAAGATTTTAAGCATTTACAGTACCAATACACTGTCTACATTTATTAGATCTTAAAATGAAACAATCAGCATTTCATATTAAAAGCTCCTTCCGCTGGATTTGCATCCAGTTACAGATGATAATGTCATACAAGGTCAAACATGCCTGTACCATGCTGTAGATTCATATCTGTACAAAATGAGAATGCTGTTAAGCTACCATCAATAAGAAACCAAAGCTTTCTGTGATAAACATTTCACAATAAAAGCCTTACTCAAAGAACTAAAGTCCTATGTTCTTAGTTACTATTATTTTGAAAAAGCCAAATCTTTTTTTACGGAACACTTTGAAACAAAGAAACCAATCTAAAGACATAAACTCGGGAGGGAGGGGCTCAAAAAATATAACACCAAGTCAGTGAATTAAAATGTAAGGGCAGCATAGTGAGCATGGCTTATTTGAATACCTTATTTTATTAGAAAATCCCCCGTATTTAGGCAGACTGAGGTGTACATTAAAGGGTCGCTTCACAAAAAACAAAAAGAACAAAGACATGTTGGAGTGGGGAAATACAACAAAGGTAGACACCGCAAAAATAAACACTTATTTGTTAAAACAGGACAATGATTTCATGTGTTCAGTAATAACACACAAACTATTATCATCTTAGTGATGTCAGCAGTGAACGGAAGAGAGATGAAACATAAGTGCCATATTTATTTTCAAGTTAGATTTAAAGGTGTGTGGGATTTAGTGACATGCAAACTACGGTGGCCTTCAAGGACCAAAAGAACTTGATGAACGCTGTTGAATCATTGCGGGGTGATATGTAGACTCCCTATATGAAGGGCACATTGAAAGCTCATGAAAACATTCTTAGTGATTATAAAACTTGTTTGGGAATATTAGATTGTGTTTCTGCACCCTAAATCCTACACACTGCTCCCTTAGGTTGTTTAATAAGGCTTAAGAAAGACCTAGAGAAATATGACTGTTGGTTGAAGGTACGTTTTGTAGAGAAGGCCACTGACTTTTCTTGAGTAGAAATCAGACGCTGTGTCTAGGATGTCCTGAGCAGATTGCTGAAAACTGAAACATTTAAAGGAAGAAAGAGTTAGTGCACTTGTACTTTTACTTATGATACCCTGAGTATGCTTAGCTGCTAATAATGATAAGTATCTTTCCACCTACCTTGAGGATCAGACTGATTACCGTGTTGGCCTTTACCGCTCTCTGGATCTACACCTAAACACACAACATGTGATCAGTGAGACATGTTGAGATATATTTATGTTGTCTATATGATCAGATGAGTCAGGAGTAACGTAGTGACCTCCTTGTATCTTGAAGCAGAGCTTCTTCTTCTGGTAGGCGAAGTAACTGGACGCTGCTCCCAACAGAGCCACTCCTATGGCGCTGGCAATCCCTGCAATCTTTCCAGACCCTGCTGCTGCGACACACACACACACACACACACACACACACACACACACACACACACACACACACACACACACACACACACACACACACACACACACACACACACACACACCACACACACACACACACACACACACACACACACACACACACACACACACACACAGACAGCGTATATATTGTTATTTCTCGTATGTCTCCTAACTAAAGTTGACTTTTCTATTTGTGTCAATTCAAGTTAATTTTCTATAGTTTATTCAAATATATATAAAGATAGTGTGTAAAATAATGGTCATTTCTACTGCTATACATTTTGCAAATAAAATTAATTGAGCTTAAAAAATAACAAGCATTTTCTTTTTTTAACAAATCACTGAAAGAAATTGTCAAATTATTATTACTTTGCACAATTAAAGATGTACATATCCTATGTTTATAGCTCCTTAGTAGTAGGTTTATCTATTATAGTGTTTTCCCACTCATTCTGTATATGTCCATATTGTGTACTCTATGGATAAATATTTCTAAAATCAATTTGGAATCTTTAAAGTTTTTCTAATCTAAAATTGTAATAAGAACAATACAGATGATTGGACATCCTTGTGTCTGATTGGCCCTTCATGCTCAGAACCAACATGTCAATAGTCATGTATTTACTAAATAATTATTGACGTTTCTGTCCTGAATGTGATCTTAATTCAGAGTTATTCTAACAGTAACCTGCATCACCTCAGTCTTCCACAAGGTGGCAGTCTTTGGACTTTGGATGACAGAACCTACACACACACTGGGAAAAAATTCCCAGAACACTCTGTATGGAATGTTTAAATATAGTCATGTAAAAGAAACATGAACATAAGAAACACACAGGCAGTTGGTATCAACCGGAGGATAATCAGTCAGTGGGAAAACAAACAAATAAAAAAGAGAAAGGACAGGTCTAGACAGCTGGAATACACCCAGGCTCAAGGGCAGGGTGGGACACACACACACACACACACACACACACACACACACACACACACACACACACACACACACACACACACACACACACACACACACACTGGCTGCATACAAAATAAACCTGTCTCCACTGACTGGCACTGAGTCATGAGGGAGAGGTGTGTCTTGTGACTCAGTGCTAAAACAGGGCGTTGCATGGACATGAAAAAATAATCGCAGGAGCATGCAGCCAGTGTTCTGAATGTGTGCTTCAGTGGATGATAGAATGGTTTTAAAAGGTTTAAAATGTGCATTGTGCCAGGTCAAATGTAATCAGTCAGGTGTACCTTCCATGGTTCATAAATCAGACGCGTTGTGAAGTCAACTCTGATCAGTCCGCATGTTTGTTTTATTCATTATGCATCGTACATCTCATGACTTAACATTGCATTCACAGCAGCAATGCTCCATGAAGACCAAAAGTAAGAAAAACTACAAAGAAGACACCAAAAATAAATACGCTGACGGAAACCGAAAAGAACACAGAGAGCTTCTCATGAGCTAAAAAACGCCAGAGGGAAAAAACATCATATGATCCAATTCTTCAAAGTTAATCCAATGACGAGTATGGTGGCCGTTGGAGCGAACGCACGACAATGGCCCTAAACACTTTCATAAGAGAAATGCAAATATACTTTTCAAGTTGGTGAGGATGTTTTCGTACAAACGAGAAGTAAAACCAACTGTACATGTTGGATCTGTCAGCTTTGAATGCTGGCAATGTAAAGTATGTGTGTGCGGTGCGAAGACACACACACACGGAAACTTTATGTAGGACAGCAACGACCTACAAGCTTTAAAACAACAGGAAACATTACTGTTGTGTAAGAAAAGTAGCTGTGTGCTGCAGTCACACATTAGACACTCTGCACACTAACAACATAATGAGTCCATGGCACTGCTGGGTGGAGTGAGAATACAATGAATGTAGGTCTACACCCACATACAGCAGGGTGTCTGGAATATCAGGGAGAAAGTCGACACTATATTATTTAGTCTTTTAGCGGGGGTTCACCGTACACAGATCTCTCAGCTCCATTTCAGACATGCAGCTATGTGTTACGATAACAGAGGTCAAAGGGCACAGGGGGTGTACCCGGGTTAGCTACACAGTTTCAAATTAACCTTCAAGAAAGAATAAAAAATCCCAGTAATCGTCCCGACGTCAGCTTCACAATTCTCTCACATTGAAGCAAACACTATTAAACCTGAGAGCCAATCAGATGTGAGATGCTTCAGGGTATAACTTGCAGCAGATTCATGGCCCTCTCTAACAGAGGGGCGAGGACCTGCTTTAAGTTGGATATCCACATATAGAATTCCTCTGGCATGTTAGCATTTAGCATCTTCAGGATGTGGCCCCACAGAAGGTCTGGATCTGCAACGACACACAATCGTAGCAGTGTTTTAGCCACAGAAACCAGACCGGGTCCAAGTATCAAAGATGTCAAATCACCCCCAAACACACCAGTTTGTTCTGGTGAACTGAGGCTGAACACCAACACAGCAAGTATTGGATCGGCGACCAAACTGAAGCAGTGAACCCAACTTCCTCTAAAGACCGTAAACAGGAAATCCCATCAAGACTTAAAGAGCGGACGAACTCTTCAGGGAGGAATAAAGAGGCCCACGCACAAACACAAAGACAGGAAGTAGAGAAGAAGATGAGATATGGGTTTACCTTGAGGCTCTTCAGCACCATCTAGGATGAGGACACAAAGAAGATTTAGTATTGTAGCAAACTTATAACAATACTGCAGAATGAAATATATCAGACGTACCGTTAGATTCGTAGCCGTGGTCCGAGCCACCACCTGGATTAAAAAAGAACATTTAGATTTAATTGTTGTATTTAATGATACCTGTTTTATTTTGAAATGTATTTCCTCCTTGTGTCTCGTCTGGCTTTACTTCCTGCCTGATTGTCTGATTGTGTTCACCTGCTGCCCCTCATGTCCCTGCCCCCCCCCCCAGCTGTGTCTTGTCATTGTGATTGTGAGTGTGTCTTTCCGTCTGGTTTCCATGAGGTCCTGCCTGTATTCCCCTCGTGCTCCCTGGTTTTTTTTTGTTTACCAGCTCTAGTAAAAAAAGGTCTTATTTTTCACTGCTCCTGGGTCCCACTTCCTGCCCAACCCTGATAGTATTATAAGTAGTAGTGTCATCACTGGGATTCCCCTTCTACATTTGTTTGACTTTTCTTACTCCAGCTGAGAGGGGGTGTAAGCTGTGCAGCAGAATGTGATCTGAAACCAGCCATGTGGCTCCCATTACACTGCAGAGCCTGTGGGTTTTATTCCTCTTTCTTTCGTAGAAGAACAACTAATGACTTCCATGCTGCAGCTCTACCGCAGTAAAGAAACACAAAACAAAGGCTGTATGACCATTCCTTTACTGAGCTATTTCATTATGGGTTCATCTTCTTAAATCATAAACTAGCGTACGCAGTTTATCACTCAAATTACCGTATAAATGTGAGTCCACCTTAAGCATGCCTAAAGCAGTGTTCTGGTGTCCATTTTGCACATGGCAGTGATATTTATGTTCAATAAATGCAGATAATATTTGACCGCCAGATCTTCCTCTTCTTTTTTTTCAGGACATTGGAGTTTTTCAGGACATATGGACCGGTCAGAACTTATTTTTCTGATGAAACCCGTGAACGACAGGGTTAACGACAGGTAACCCTAACCCAACCCTAACCCAAGGAGAAAATAATACAAGCGATGCTGTAGCAACTGGTAAAAATCACTAACATAACAAGTGAGTCACAGCATGTTAGCCAACATACTTACATACTTATATACCTTATTGTCAACCGTCTTACACTCTCATATGATTTCTGAATAAACCCTTTAACTGTTTTGTGTGTGTGGTTTGCAGAACTAATGCCCCTAACATGAAAGCACACTATTTCACTTCCCTCAAAACAACGAGAATAGATGAATAAGATGTGGTCAGATTGGAATGTGTCAGCGTTGCCGTGACAGTAAATACATGTTTTGCAGTTCTCTTGAGGCACTAAACTTGAATGAGTCAGACACGAAAAACAAAGGAAGGAAACTACATCAAGATTCAAAACTACATCCAGTGTTCAGAGGCATTTATATGTATATCTAACACAAATATTCATACTATATTGTATTAAGCGTAATTGAACCAATGTGATGTTAGGTCTCACCTCCTCCTGGGCCTTCATCGGGCTTGTAGCCATCACCACCAGCATCAGCTAAGTCGTTGATATCGAAAGTTCCTCCACCTTTTAGAAAAATACAATTTAACCATTAAAGTTGACATTTATTAGGATAAACCTGCTGTACTCTGACTCCACATGGGATTAAGATAACAAAGAATATCAGCAGATGTGTCCTTTTAACAGCCATTTAAATTCAGTTTAAAGACGTAATAAATGATATGTGTGGACTGACTGACCTCCTCCGCTGGGTGGTGGGTTCACTACAGGTTTGTCAGGTTTGGGGTTGGGGTCTGTGGGCACAAATCAATCATTAAGGACATACAGCAAGAAAGCAGGCCAGAAATCAACATGAGTGAGTTTGAGAATATACAGCATTTTGTTTATCAGTGTCTTTGCACAAAAGGACTGTACTGTCTATGAAAAGGAGTCATATTTGAGTGTCCTTTGTCTAGTTTAAATGGAGGATTCAACTATTTTTCCAGCTAGAACTTGTCGATCTGTCAGCTAAAATAACAGTTGATGAAAGGATATAGGATATAGCAGATCTTAAAATGGCATTGTTCTCGTGTTGCAGCGTAAAGCTAAGCTAGGCTAAAGTAGCATTTCGTTCTAGCATCCCCGTCTGGCTGCTTAGCTCACATACCAGGACAGCTAGGACTGGATCAAAAATAGAAAGCGTGCTTTAATGTGATGGAAGTAACACTACCTCAGATCATGAGGGATATAACTTATTTACACTCTTGTATAGTAGCATTAGCATCCAGGAGCTATCAAGAGCAGGGCTATCAAGGAAGAGTATGAAATTCCCCTGGCCTTGGAAGTTACACGAAGAAGATCACTTGTTTTAATAGCCTCAATGTCATGTGACCCAGTGACTCCAAATACACGCTAGATAGAAGGACAACTCAGTCCAAACTCTATAACTCCATTCGTTCACACAGTGACGTCACGAGCTACCCACAATGCAACGCGCGCCATATATATATATATATATATATATAAATACGCCATTTTCCTGGAGGTGCTAATATCCTGGAGGTGCTAATATAAACAGCTAGCTAACGTAGCCAGGCAGAGCACACTAGGTTTTTTTTCTGAATTAACGACCGAAGAAATCGCTGCATGTCTTCGGATTACATCTCTGGACTTGAGGGGTGTGCTCTAGGTCGTTACCAGCGTAAACTAGAGCTGTGTGGGTTGTCGGATTGCCCTTACAGACTGCCTGCAGATGTATGGAAAAACGACCCTCGAAAGTGGCCTTCGGTCGATTTTGGCAGCATCTACGTCTATCTTCTGGAAACACCAGGTGAATACCCCACTTGTCACAATAATATTATCATGCCAATGCATATATGTGGTAATTTAGAGTTGACTATATTGATTAAGGCAATAGACTATGATATTCTGCTTGCACCTCGTGTGAAATGGCGGATACCGGAAGTACGGTGTCGCCCTTGGCCCAAAACCCGTATGTGTGTGTGAAAGAATAGCATTTCAGCAGCTATTATTGGACCATGACTGCTGGGGAGGGGTCTATCAAACCAATTTAGAATACTTGTAAATAATACAAATAGCAAAGCTTCAGCCATTCATTGAGAACATTGCAAATTTGATATGAGACATTCCCCTCACCTGGACCCAGAGCATCCCCCAGATCAAATCCGTCGCCACCACCTGTAATCCACAAACACACGATTAAACACTCTTAATTAACACTTGTTTAATTTACATGTGACTATTTCATGTCATTGTGATTAGGTTACTTTTTGGCCCTTTTGGCTTTGTTTTGATTGTCAGCCCACAGAGAAACAGGAAGGGAACATGGCTACAAACCAGGAGATCTTAGTGGGGAAACCTACCAGCATCTCCTGAGCTCGGTTTCTTGGGCGGCTTAGGGGTCGGGATAGGCTCAGCTGCAGAAAAAAACATTTATTTAGACAAGGACAACAAAAGGTCATTTGTAAGCATGCATATATTTATATATATTTAAATCATGTAAAGCTGATACAGAAAGAAACACAGACTTAGCCTGGTATGAAAGCCCTGACACCACACACAGTGCACCGTGTATTTACCTGGTCCAAATGCATCTGAAAGGTCGAGCCCACCTGGAGGGAGAAGGAGGGGGAAAAGCATTAAACACGAACTGAACTGCTCCATTAGAAGGAATACTTTTTGTTCAGGATTAGTGAGGTCATCACTTTGCACAGTATTTACACACACACACATCTTCATGGCTGCGATATAGGGATGCAACCACACATTAAGAATGCAACCCATCAGGTTCAACCACACCGTAAAAATCACACATAGAAAAAAGAATAAAATACACCTAGATGTCACGTGTGAGGAATTCTTGTATGTTGGATTCATGGTATGTACTGCCAAAAAAGGTCATTCAACCTCTGGGGCTCATTGGTATCTACAAATGCAGGGGGGAAAAGCAACCTGCTCAACCCACACAGCCACATCACCTGTATACTGTGTGTGTGTGTGTGTGAGAATCTAGGTCATGGTTTTAAGCCTTGGTTGATGCAGTGGTGCAGTCATGATGTGGTGTTGTAGATTAGAATACAGTTGCGTATTCTACAAGAGAGAATACTGTGATCAGGTTAAATAAAAGGTGGTTTCCCTGATAGGCTTTTTGTCTATAACACATGGAATAATGTGACAGGTGAAAGGATACATACCGTCACTTTTAGGATCCTCTGGGGCCTTCGGTTCCTCTTTGGGTTTCGCAGGTGTAGGTGGTACTAAGAAATACAAATAAAGGAGCAGTTTCTGACAGTTAGCATTTCCAATTTTCTCTGAAATGTCCCCATATGTACCAAAAGTGTCACAGGTTAGTAGGATTAGTGGGCTGTGGTTTGTAAACATTCCACAGATTACTCTTGTTTTTAAAAGAAGCTATGTATGTAATATGTTACCGCTGTGTCTGTTATTTTAGTAGCTTTCCCCTCTATGCGTGTGCTACATTGTTAGAGATGCCGACGCCCAAGAACATCCCCAACAATGCAAACTAAGAAAACCCAGGCAGGTTCAGACACCACCGCATGCTTCCAGGGGACAGAAGTCATGATTCAGAAGGCCAGTGTCTATGAGCCTTCAAATTCCACCTAATAGCTTGTGTTACATTCACCTTCCCCAGCAGACATGTGTTTGAGGTTAATCATTTTTCATGTAAGGACATGACTGACAATTGAGAAAAATCCATCCCCTTAAGACAACAATGACATTTGAATGAAAGCTCATGATGAAAATGTATTTTGTCAAAAATAAAGTCAAAAATATAAGTGAGGAATAACATTTGACCCCTTAAGAGTGATTCAAATGTGTGGGCTATAAGGCTTTCTTTACTGTTTTATAAAAATGTTTTTATAATAATCTTGTTATGATGATTCTGTTGATGTAAATGCTTCTTTACCGACTTTGTTAGAGCTATACAGTGCTCTTATATTGGCCTTAATCTCCCATGTTTAGGAGTAAAAAAAAGATATGCCTTTTCAACTAAATCATCCCCAACCCTGGATGCATTCCACAGAGACGGCCACTCACCTTCATCGCCATCATCGAGAGCATCGAAGAGGTTAAATCCTGTGAGGAGTACACCATTAATCAGACATTAATAATCAACACTGATAGAAGAAACATGTTCAAGCTGAGTCAGGGTTTGAATCTCTCTCTGTGTCCACAGTGGAAGCACATGTGTTCTGTGTTTGGACGCTTCAGTCAGACAGTGTATTTGCAGGTTCCTATGGCAACTGAGTGATACGCTGTGACAAATGAGTCACTGCTCGGTGAGTTGTTTCCCCACAGAGAAGCAGATGCCTACACTTCGTTGCCCAGGAGGATTTAAAACGGTGTCACAGTGAAACACACACAGGGTAATCTTACAATGAACTTGTGTGAATGTACTCCTATCAGTCTTTTACAAACCATTTGGCTGAAATAACATGTTTGTTTACATACATTCTAAATGAGCAAATCTCTGTATAATATAGAAGTTCTGTCATTTGACACAACCCTCAGATACTTTCTGGTAAGTAAGGCTTTAACACACGAATTGCAATATTTATTATATATTAATATATTTTTGACAATAGATTTTCACATGTGTTTTCTCTGCCTCAATATGAGAGAACAGCAGCTATGGCAGTTTTGAATATTTTTCAAAATGGGTGTTTGCTCTCTTTTGGAGCCTTGTGTTTATACTGTTCCAGACAAAATGATCTTACTGCAAATTAAACTTTAATAAGTCATTTTGCAGAATCCAAATCTGTGCTAAATATCAAACATCGTCCGTGACTTAGTAACCAAACTGACTTCAAGACAGCATGCCATCTTCCTCTCAAGTGCGTGCCTGTGGTTTTCTCTGCCAGCCCTCGTTGGTTTAAACAGGATGCAGCGACGCACGGCACACAGACAATTCTGTACAAGACTATTTATATCAAATTAATTAATTGTATTTATTTTAGCTGGTTATAATTATTTTAATTTCCACAGGGGGATGTTTCTGTTTTTTTCTGAATTTTCAGTCTTTTAATATTAATATGTATTTTAGTTATCATCCATGTACAGTTATTATGTCTTACCCAAACTGTCTGTTAGATAATGACCCCATTGAAATGTATGTCCATTTTCTAATCTGTATTTGCAGCTTTTTCACTGTTATGATAACCTTAATGTCTGTGCAGGAAATATATAAGTATTGGCGGGTTTTGGCAACATGGGTGGAGTTCACATTCCAGAACCTCCAGAAAGTGGGGTAATTTAGTTCATAAATAACATTCTTTAGCATTTAACCCTCAAATACGAGAGTCATGTTAACATAAAATACTATTAAACAGTTCAAATAAACTGAAAATAATAGTCTAAAAAGTGGTCTACTAGTTTTTTCTTGGTGGGGAACATTAAGGGACCTTGACTCATGTCCTCGGGTTTAAAGTCCTTACAAGTTTGCATTATAGAACAACTGAACCTCACCTTCCTGTTTCATCCTGAAACAACTATCCTAAATGTATCCTCTTTTAAGAGCGATTACCTATTTTATATATAATTAACTCAATTTGGGATTCACTTCTTCATTCAGTGTGTCTGGTAGGAATACAGCTGGGTCAGTCATATAGTCCTTTATGGATGTTCAATCACAGGACAGGAGTAGATTATATCTTCCTAATCTTCCCAAACCTTTCACAGTTTCCACATGATGGAAAATGGGACAGTTTTCACCACCATCACTAGTAGTAAGCACTGATTATTTTATAGCAAAAATATATATATAAGTTTTTCTTTGCAGCCACTATTATGCTGTGTATTATGTGAGTATTTACTATGGACTAAATAAAAAATGCATGCTTTCCTGCTTCACCTTAAGAGACACGAACACTACCATAAACATAAAGTAGGAATAACACAAATTGGGA